ACTTATACTTTGTACACCCCTTTCCACAAATCATGTAATAGCTTAGTATTTTTATTTTCCGCAATTTAAATGCTTTATATTCACATGTTAGTAATTAGGGTTTGTATGGAAAGAATAAAATCAATCAAATAGAAAACCCTAATTCAAGACCAAAACAAGCATGAAAACAATACACTCGCACACAAGCACCCTAGGGTAAAATCCACTTGGTTGCCTTACAAAATGACCATATTACGCATGTGAGGTATCTTAGCAAAAACTAACGAATACAAGATCATAGTCCCTCGATGACGCTATCTAAGTTGGCTTACAAATGATCTTAGTCCTAAAAAGAGAATGCTAAGATGCCTTGCAACATTGCTAATCATGGTTATACGATGACCCACGCCCGTTCCGTTTACATCCAAAGATATGGTTACTTATCAAATCAATGGTAATATAACAATGTCAAAGGAAAAGGAAATGTACAAGAAAGACTTTTAGAGTAGGTAGAATGCTCTTAATTGCTCAATTTCAAACAAACATCCTTGCTATTTTCAACAAAAAAAAAAACACCTACACATTTCAAAATATCTTACAAACTTGAAAACATTTTCAAAAGATCAACATCTTTGTATACATTCTTACGAACGAGAATCATTACTAAGATTGCCTAAACAATGACCTCTTTACAAAATACTTTCAAAAACCACACAAAGCACAATTTTCAAACAAAAACAAGTGATCTAGCAAGTAACTAAGAGCTCATGGAAAACCATGGATGAAAATTGTGTTAATCTCAAAGGTATTTCCTATACTTTTTTCACTTTTACTTTTGGATAAAAGAAAAATCGGTGACGACTCTTGCTAACCGTAACATTTGCGATCAAACGCAAAACATTCTAAAAGAAACTATCTATGTATTTTTTTTTTTTAAATCTGATTATTGAAGAAAAAAAAGTTTCACAAAACTTGAATTGTGAAAATAGACCAACCAGCAATCTTTTTTTAATACATTTAGGAATTATTTTCTCTTTAAAAAAATTGGTGTATATTTGCTTCAAGTAGTATAAAATTTCTGGCGGCACAACGGCAACCGTGCACGACTGCGCGTGGTAGCTTGCGGTGGCGGACAATACATTGCAATGGTAGAAAACTAAAATAACGTAGAACAACAACAGTTTAATTACAATGATTCAATTTGTATGGAGAACACTATCATCATGGTCATCATTATCAATTAATAAGTGCAAACGCATGCACACAACAACCACTACGACTACAGAATGGACCAAAAACTCCAACCTAAGAAGCATGTTCGGCAAATACGTCGACAAAACTAGCGTCTTCAGTTGGAACTCAATCATCGCCGATTTCGCTCGAACCGGCGACTCTTTACAAGCTCTCTACGCTTTCTCTTCAATGCGCAAACTCTCTCTTCACCCAAACCGTTCTTCTTTCCCTTGCACCATCAAATCATGTTCCTCCCTGTCCGACCTCCGCGCCGGAAAACAGACTCACCAACAAGCTTTTATCTTTGGATACGCATCTGATGTATTTGTTGCATCTGCTCTCATTGATATGTATTCTAAATGTGGTCGTTTGAATGATGCCCGGAAACTGTTTGACGAAATTCCTAACAGAAACGTTGTTTCTTGGACTTCCATGATTACTGGATATGTTCAAAATGAATATGCCCGGGAAGCCGTTTGTTTGTTTAAAGAGTTGTTGTTGGTTGAGGAGAGTGATTATGAAGAGGGTGTTACTCTAAGTGTGGATTCGGTTCTTTTGGGTTGTGTTATTTCGGCTTGTGCTCGGGTGTGTTTGAAAAGTGTGACTGAATGTGTTCATGAATTCGTGGTCAAGAAGGGGTTTGAAGGGTGTTTGCCAGTTGGGAATACGTTGATGGATGCTTATGCTAAGTGTGGGGAGATAGGTGGGTCTAGGAAAGTGTTTGATGGGATGGAGGAGAGGGATGTTTGTTCTTGGAACTCTTTGATTGCTATATATGCACGTGATGGATTGTCAGCAGAGGCTTTAAGTGTGTTTAGTGATATGGTGAAGAGGGGTGAGGTACAATATAATGCTGTTACGTTATCTGCGGTGTTGTTAGCTTGTGCTAGTTCTGGAGCTCTGCAGATAGGGAAATGCATACATGATCAGGTATTACTAGCTAGCTTCATTGTTTTAGTTGATAATCATACAAAATTTGGATTTAGTTATTTATAGTACTCCCTCTGGACCTTATTATAAGAGAAAGTTCATTTTTTAGATTGTATTTGGTTCATATATAGACCAAATACATTAATCATTGAATGAATCTAAAAAGTGAACTTTTTCTTATAATAAGGACCAGAGTTAGTAGTATGTTTGGGTCTGTGCATAAATGTGCCTATGTACAACTCTGCCTATGCTGCATTACATTGTAGTTCTAAGTTTATAGAAAATGTCAGGGTTGTGTATAATAGCTGACAGCCATATGGTAGAACTTTGTTCAATTCTCATGACATGGATCAACCAAATTATTTTGACAGAATATAATGGCATCATTTGAACCATGAAGTCAGTTCCACACAATGGAACAACTTTTGTTTTTGTTGTAATTGTATTTTTGTACAGAATATTTAGCCAGGACCTAGGTGAGAATTGTTGGTTTCGCTGATGTAACTGTTTTCTTTTACTATAGGTTGTCAAGATGGAATTGGAGGATAACGTGTTTGTAGGCACTTCTATAGTTGATATGTACTGCAAATGTGGGAGAGTTGAGATGGCAAGGAAGGCGTTTGATCGCATGAAAAACAAAAACGTTAAGTCGTGGAGTGTTATGGTTGCTGGTTATGGAATGCATGGACGTGGAAAAGAGGCTATGGAAGTCTTCTACGAGATGATAAGGTCTGGAGTCAAACCAAATTACATTACTTTTGTGTCAGTTTTAGCTGCTTGCAGTCATGCTGGCCTGTTGAAAGAAGGGTGGAGTTGGTTTAATAGAATGAAACGTGAATTTAATGTTGAGCCTGGGATTGAACATTATTCATGCATGGTTGATCTCCTTGGGCGAGCTGGCTATCTTAAAGAAGCTTATAGTTTGATCCATGAAATGAAGGTGAGACCTGATTTTATAGTTTGGGGTTCCCTTCTTGGGGCTTGTAGGATTCACAAGAACGTTGAACTAGGGGAGATTGCTGCAAGAAAACTGTTTGAGTTAGATCCAAGTAACTGTGGATACTATGTACTACTCTCCAATATTTATGCTGATGCAGGAAGATGGAATGATGTGGAGAGGATGAGAATATTAATGAAGAATCATGGAATACTCAAAACTCCTGGATATAGTATAGTTGAAGATAAAGGCAGGATACATGTCTTTTTAGTTGGAGATAAGGAGCATCCACAACATGAGAAGATCTATGAGTATTGGGACGAATTAAATGTCAAGCTGCAAGAACTTGGCTATATGCCAAATGTAACATCAGTGCTCCATGATGTTGATGAGGAAGAGAAAGGAATGGTTCTAAGAGTTCACAGTGAGAAACTAGCTGTTGCCTTTGGAATCATGAATTCAGTTCCTGGATCAGTCATCCATATTATAAAAAATCTTAGAATTTGTGGGGACTGCCACATTGCAATTAAATTGATTTCCAAAATAGTAAATCGAGAAATTGTTATCAGAGATTCAAAGCGATTTCATCATTTCAAGGATGGTGTGTGTTCTTGTGGAGACTATTGGTGACAGTAACTGAAATAAAGGGAGTCAGAATCTATGGTGTTGGATGTGCAATACTTGTGCACCATCAAAGCCTGACCAGATGCTTGTATGGTGCACGCAACTTTATACTACATTTGTGAAGGTGCATATTCAGTGGATCAATTAGTTCCAGTAAGAACAATGAATAGATTTTCAGTTGGGCTTTTAGATCAATTATTCTCAGTTCAAATTTGTAATGTTATTGCTCTACTGCAAAAGCACAATAAAACCCAAGTGCAAATATTACAAAAGGTAACTAGCATCAACAATCATTACGAACGTGTAAAATGACACTCTTCTGGGTACTTAATGTGCCTACATTGCTGCAACTTTTACAAGTGCTCACTTGCTTGCTATACAAACAAGAGTTTGTTTCTCAATTGAAGCACAATACTATTAGAATGTCAAATCTACAAGATATCATGGAGTGCAACCTCTGAAGAACTTGCTCACAGATTTTCTTCCTGGTCTTGATATCTGTGATTGGCTGCATTCTGAATCAGCATTGGAGTTCCTTGATGAATTCTGGAGGGCCTTGTTTTCGTGCTTCAAAGTTTCCACCTCTAGCTGAAGCCTTCTAATGGTTTCCCTTTTTTCATCATTTCTTTGGACCAACTCTTCTATCTGGTGCAGAGTATCATCGGTAAGTTTTGTCATCTGATACTTCAATGCTGGCCACGTACTTTCATATTCGGAACTGATTATTAATGGATCTTCAGTTCCCTGTTTTAATTCCATATCCTCAATCTTCATTAAAATATTTTCATTGGTGGAATAATCTGTCATTCTGTCTTCAAGTTGAATGTCAAAGCACTCAACTTCTGATTCTAATTTCAGGCTGCAAAGGTTAGATGATGGAAATACGTCATCTTCTTGCTTCTTTAATATCTCAAAATCCAGATTAGTCCCATTAGATTTGACATCAGAATGCTTCGAGAGAGATTTCATAGAGCTATTATAACCCTTTCCGGGTTTCTTATTCTCCAAGCTACCTGTTGCTCTTCGGGTGCAGCCAGTACATATTGTTTTTGATGTAGCAGAATATGATAAAGATCCTGAATTGAAGGAACCATGAGATGTTTTAGACTTTAGTTGGTTATAAGCTAAGGCTAAAACACGGTATGATTGGCCAAACTCTTCAAGCATCTGTATAAGGTCTTCTCTCCATTTGCAGTACATGTGTTCTTGGTTTGGAGAATTGCCATCTTCTAAAATAGTCGTCATGGCTCCCAATTTGTCATCCAATTCTAAAACTCAATCAAAAGTAAGTAATTTGTGAGTAAAAGCTGCAGCATAAGTGCATAACTGCCCAACAGGAAAAATTACAATAATTTGGTTCATATTTTTTTTCTTCTCAAAATCAATTATTTAGTGGGCAAAAATTGATTTCAAGAGAACTGATTTATTTTTTGAAAATACAGTTATATTAATTTTGATAACAATAACATTTTCAAAATCAATTTTATCAAAATTAATTTTTCTAAAATCTAATATATGAGAAAGTTTGTACATCATATACTAATTACTTGCAAAGTTGCATCAACCGTTGACGAACTTTTCTGTAGGGACAGTTTTAAATCGACTATATTGACTTCAAACTTTAGACTATATGTTTTGTTCTAGCCTTACTTTATATACTTTCCATTCACAAAGTCAAGTCAAAAAAATGCCAACAACTTGTTAAAAAAACTAGCGTGCAACATGCAGCAGAAAGAATAATGAAAGAAAGAAACCTGATATGGTTGTTTGAAGCCATTGAGATTGGTAGATAGGAGCAGAACTCCATGATTGACCATCTTCATTCTCCATGAACATTGATGTGATCATTCATTACCTCGTCAAAAATAAATTTATCTAAAAACCAAAGGAGACAACAGGGTGAAGTGTAAAGAAAGTAAGTAAAGAATTTGAAAATTAAGTTCCTGGCTGGCATATAATTGACCAAAGACATACGTTTAAGTAGATTCTTTATCAAATTCGAAAATGGAAATTAATATAATGTCCCATTATTACTAATTATGAGGATGATTGATTGTCCATTAATGACAAGTATAATTTTGGTAACAAGTTTAATGTCAATGTCACTACAGCACTATGGTTGTTTTTTTTTTCTGGTACAGTCCGATTCGAGAGTTCTTGAGTCAAATGGTTCTAATTCTCTTCTGATCACAATTGCGCGAATTGAATTGTAGTCCTTCTTATTAATTTTAAAGTCATTTTTTTATAATAATGTTAGTTAAGAGTATTTGTGGGTCGATTTTAAGATAATTTAATGCTTAAACCGATAAAAAATAAATAGATTGAATTTGCAATTTTTTTTATAAAACTCTAACCGAATTAAACCGGGAAACAACAAGTTAATTTTGGTTGAATTAATCGGATACGTTATATAAAAATGTACAAAAATATTTTAAAAAAAATCAATTTTACATCAACTAATTTTTCATAAATATATAATTTTTAGTTTTTTTTTTCATTTCTTCATATAGGTTGTGAATGTCACAAATGAGTTTAATTTTTTTTTTTGAAATAAAAAAAATTAATGTTGTATTCAAAATTTAAAATTAGATCAATACAGAAATATAAGGCAAGCGGACAACAAGTTGTGCCGCTACTCTTTTTTAGATTGTAAAATCAATATTCTTAAAAACTATATTCATAGACCTAGGAGATACAATATTGTTATTTATAAGTTTTTGAACTCTCTATAAAAAATTAACTGCTTTTGGTGCTAGGAAACTAAAAATGTCAAATGCAAAAGGTACGAAAACATATTGATTTTCAGAATACGCTTTCTATTAGAATTTAATATTTTGTAGTAGTTTTTATGATAACGATGATATAAATTAATATGATTGGTTCGCATAAACGAGTTCACGGATAGAATTTTGAAAATTTGTTGCCTAAATCAATTAATATCATGTTGGTTTGGTTCGATTGTTGTCCGAATTAAAAAAAATATTTGACCTAAACATCATATTTTAATTTAGATTTCGATTTAATTCGAATTTACCCGAACCAATAAATACTCCATTGACCGCGGGGTATTTAGACTTTGTTTTGTAAAACTAACTGATAGTTGATAGCAGATAGCTAATAGATGGTAGTTGGTAGCTGATAGCTGCTAGCTAGTAGCTTATATCTAGTGACTGACAGCTGATAAGTTAACATGAGTGTTTGATAAATTAATTGTTTCATTAGTTGATAGATATAAAATGACATAAAAGTCAATTTAATTAATAAGGATAATAATATATTTTTGTTAAAATAATAAGGATATAAATGAAAGAAAAAGTCACAAGTTAAAAACTACAAGTTAAAAAACTACTTCAAATAACTTTTGAAAAAAAAATTAAAAGCTAATAAAAAAACTATAAACTAAAAACTAAAATCAAATTATCAAATAATTTTTTTTTATTAATGTGAATTAAAAAGTTAAAAACTAAAAGCTCTTTTTTGAATCTTACTTAACAGACTCTTAGATATAACTGAGTAATAAAGTTTCAACAATTTTTATCATTTGATATATATAAAAAAAAGGGTGACTAGTTAAAAAGTTTAGAATCAAATTCAAATTATATATAACACATTAAGATTAGATGGTTTTTTAGATAAGCTGAGTTGTTAAAATGGACTACCCGATCTTAAACGGGTCAGTCTTGATGGGTCTGGATTTTTTAGAATTGTGCTAAAAAAACCTATTATAATAGGGTTTCAAAATTACTATTTAAGTCTGATCCTAGATGTGCTTCAGACTATCTGATCCTAAAAGGTTTTTTAAAGAAAAGATTAAAATAAAAAATCTATGATATTTATTAGAAATAAAATAAAAATTATATTATTTTACATAATATATTTTTAATTACTATATTATCTTTTATAAATACTATAATATATTTTTAATTAAATACATGTCTAAATTGTAAAAAAATAATACTCAAATATTTAACATAAGAGAAACTAATAGAATACGAAAAAAGAATGTTGATTATATTAATGTATAATTTTATTTTGCTTATGTACTTTGGTTCTCAGAGGAATGGAGCGCTAATAAGCCAAAATTCATACCAAGAGATATGACACTGGTCAACCGTTGTTCTCACCTAAGAATCGAATATGATATTCTCTTAATTACGTCTTTAGCGTGAATACCTTTATCATTGAAATTCAAATTATAATATTTAAAATAATTCAATACAAAAATTAATATAATTTTTCTAAAATTTATAGTTATGCAAACCTAATAAATTATTCACGACTTATACATAGCCCTAATAGATAATAAATTTTTTAAAGTTGAGTTAAAAAAATCCTTTAAAATATAAATTCTAATTTAAAAGTTTAAACCTTATAATTTTTCGAACCAAACACACCGATCCATATGGACTAATATCATTTTAACAGATTGTGTACGTGATTATATGATTTGAAATTATTTGTCATAAAAATTGTAATGGTTTCATTTATTTATTTTAGTATTTCAATCTACACAAGTGTAAGCTCACTATAAATATGCCAAACGTATATCTCCCAATCAGAATCCAAAATGTTTAACAACCACTTTATAATTTAATGAAATTTATATGAATCTAAGAAGCTTGAAATCCAAAAACAAAAATTCTTATTGATAATTTTTCTAACACACCCCAAAGTTCTAATCCATAAAATATCATCACACAATTTTAAACAAATATATAAGAACTTTAAGAAATAATAAATAGAAAGTTTGTGTTAAAAAATTAATTATAAACTTTTAATTAAATCAATGTACTATTTTTAAAATAATTTTTTTACATTCATCACAAACTTGTTTTATGAATTATTTTAACATGTATTCTTATTTAAAACGTATTAATAATAAAAAAATGATGAAAAGGGAATAAATAACAGAGGAACTGAAAAAAATAGATGTGATAATAATATTAAAAAATTAAAAGAGGAGAAGGTGGAGGAGAAATAATAATGAATATATAATTATTCTATTTTGCTTTACTAATAACTCATTAATTGGATATTGAATGAAATATGAATATGTTGAGTACACTTGCGCAGCAAAATGACAATTTGTATTTGAAATTTCCAAATCAATTGGAACAAAAATTGATCAAGCCTAGGCAAATGGAATTTGGTGAATTTTTTTCCAAAATGCCACCGCTATGAATTATATTTTCCAAAATGCCACATTCTAAAAAAATATTTTCAAAATGTTAGGTTCAAAGGAGTTATGTCATTTGAAATGACATGAGGGTTTCATCTTTTATATAGTTAATAGGCTTGTGTTATTTCATTTGGCGTGAAAAAATATGTATATTTTAATTTATTTTTTATTTTCTGATATTAATTTAATATAAATTTTTATTATTTTATTTTATTAATTAATTAGAAATAATTTAAAAAACAATTTAAATATATAATTAATTAATAAAATATTAATTAAACAATTTAAATAATTATAAATAAACAATTACAATCAAATTACTAATTAAAAAATACGATTAAGCATAATTATAAATAACAATACATTGATACAACCAAATACATTAGTATAATTAGTTAGAAGGGCCTGCATTATTGAGGCGATGCAGATATCTTTTGCGCATATGAAGTTGTTGACAAATTTCGCATCGTCTTTTTATTTTCTCAACAGTGTCAATTTCAGTCCTAATGTGAGTAATGTTCGGACGACCTTTTTTGTTTTGTTGCATCCTTTCGTCATACAAAATAATATCGCCTAGATATGGAGGCCAGCTATCTTCTTGGGGAATACCGGTGAAACTTTGTAGGTAAACTTTTAAGATGTCTATAACTCTATACACGTGAGGGATAACTTAGTATAGTCGTGGTTAATGTGAGAACAAGTCGCAATAGCATGTGAGCAAGGCAGATGAAAAGTTTAAAATTTCCCACAGTCACAAGTTAGTTTTTGGAGGTTGACGTTGAAATGAGTAAGTGGCCGATAATTATTATTATTATCTGTCTCTTGGACCACGAAGTAGTGTCTTTCACGGTCAAAAGCCAATACATTATAACTGTGAGATTTTTCTACTTCTTATGCAATTCCTTTCATGCAGTTATTTGTGAATTTCTTTTCCGGTGACAAATTTTTTGTCCAATCCTTTCCTCGCTTCCCCCACAATATTCCCATCCTGTAGTATGTTGATCTTACAAGTGTTGTAATAGGTAGATTGCGGTTTTCCTTCAACACTGAGTTTAATGATTCAACAAGGTTGGTTGTCATGTGACCTTATCGTGCTCCTCCATCGTAAGCTCGCAGCCATTTTTCTCTTGGAAGGTTCTCTATCCAGTTGAAAATCTATGTGTTTGTTTGGCGGATCTCCTCGCGATAGTATGTGCATGTAGACTCATTAAGTGCATACCCTGTGTATAAGCATTAAAAACATTAATATAAAAGAACTATATATTTAAAAGCCGAAGAGGTTATAATTATAAAAAATAGAGAATAAATTACCCATGTTAACAACTGTCTTGCGAATGTCTTTGTCCTTGATGGCTCGCATAAAGTTTTGTATGATGTGTCTAATGTAATACACATATACCGATGAAGGGTTCTGCCAGCCATTATCTGGGTTATTGTAGGCACTTTTAATGGACTCGTGTCGATTAGATATCAAACATAAACCTGACTGGGGTGTGACGTGGAGTCTCAAATTTTTCAGAAAGAAATTCCAAGCCCTCAGTCTCACCTTCAACCAATGCATATGTGATAGGGAAAATGTTACCATTCCCATCTTATGCAATATCTAGTAGTAATGTGCCCCTCTATTTTTCATATAGCCATGTACCATCTA